CACAGTCTTTGGATAGAGTGTATGTGGACCACCGTTCATGAAGATAATCCTGGAACACCTTCCAGTTGGCCCTCTTTACGTCTCATCTAGGAGGCAGCACAACTGTGGGAGGCCTGTTGATGTTGAAGGTGGTGATCACTTCGAAGTGGTCACTGACAAGGTGAGGATGAGTTTCCCATGTGGTTCCTGCTGCGAGTTGTCTTGTCCCGAAGGTAAGGTCGAGGCAGCCACCCAATAGGTGTGTGGGGTCTCCATTGTTTAGCAACTTTACATCTAGAATATCGTGTAGGAGCATTGCTATGTGTCTGCCAGCAGCATTGGTTGCTGAGTGAGAGTGCAGCATTGGGTGATGTGCGTTGAAATCTCCACCCACAATAATACACTCAGTGCATGCTAGCGCGAGGAGCTCTGCAATGTCGAGGGTGCGTCTTGGGTTCTTGTAGATGTTACAGATGGTAATAGGCGCCCCAGGTACATGTGCAAGGATGGCCTGTACCTCGACATCTTCCCCACAGTCCACAGGGTTGGCTATAACCTCGTAAGGTATTGTATCAGATACGAATACAGTTGTGTCTCTGCAGTGAACGCCCGCGTCCATGTGCCGAAAATACTCAGCAAAACTGGGTAGTCTTGGGCACATAGTCAGGATAGTCAGAGTTTCTTGTAGCAAGATGATGTCAACCCGATCCCGAATTACTGCCTCCAGCAAGAGGTGCTGTTTGCCCCTGTTTGCTCTGAATGTTCCATTGTAGGATTTTGAGGGTGTGATTTGGTACGGAAGTTATTCCATCGCTGTTGTTTTCTGAGCTGGGGACTGAGCCCTGTCCGCTCTGAGAACCTGCAAATTCATGGCGTCCACCGTCTCCTCCTTGGTTAGTGAGCACACTCTCACGAGCGTACTGACCATCTGCCGGAATACGCTCTGTTGTTCCGTGGAGTTGATTGTATTGCAAATAATATCTGTGAACGCCTTGATGAATGCTACGAGATCCTCCCTGGTGAGGACCTGCGTTGGCATTGGATTCGAAACAGTGGATATTACCTGGGCTGTTGTGGTCTATAGGGACTGTTGAGGGTTGGATTTCTTTATTGTATGCACCGTGGTCTGTTGTTGTATACCAGGTTGGGTAGCCGGCATCTGCTGGTAAGGTGCCAGTTGAGCCTGCAAAGCAGCTGTCCCGGGTAAGGAGTGCCTGCGTTGTCGTGTTATGGACGGTGGAGGCTCGTTTAGTGCCGTCTGCTGATTGCGTTGACCAGATGTACCCTGTTGACGCTCTTGTTCCTCTTGTTTTTGTTTCTTCGTTGAGGTAGGGGTGCAAGAGACTCCTGACCATGATGCCTGGTTGAGGCTTCGAGGGTTGGGAATTCCTGAGCATGAGTTGGGTGACCTGATGAGAGGCCTGCAGTATGGCAGGGTTCTCTGCACCCATCGTCTACTGAGAATGATGATTCGTCGTAGCCTGCTGCCGAGTTTTTGGCTTCTTCCAGACTCCTTGAATTTTGGCGAGCCTCTCGGAGCATGGAGGATTCCAGGGTTGGTGTTTCTGTCTGCAGTTCGGGCATTGTGGAGGGGGTGGCGAAGCATTTTTCAGCTTGGTGATGCATTCCTCGGCAGGGTGGCACTGGCTGCAGACACCAGAGATTACTTTGTTCGGGCAGAGTGCACCCAGGAGTCCGTAACGCTGGCACTTGAAACAACGATCTGGTTTTGCCGTGAAGGGCCTGACGTCGTACCTGTCCAAATAACCGAGGTCCAGCTGGGATGGCAGTGGCCTTACATGCTGTATGAGGATTTGTCGGGTTGGTGCATTGCCTGTCGTCTTTGCCTTGAGACGTTGAGCTGACACCACACTGGGGTGAGCTGCTATTGCCTCGATGGGCATCATCAGCGGGTATCGCATCACTACACCCTTGGTGATCTTCTGCCGAGAGTCCAGTTCCTCCAGGGTGAAGGAGCGATCTGTCTCCATGACTCTCTTCAAGGCGGTGTACATTTCCTTGTTGAGAGGAGTCAGTATTGGTTCTTCCCTCAAGTTGAACCATATCTTGAACTTCAGGTTGTGTCGTGATTCCAGGTATGAAACAACGCCAAAGTGGGTTCTGTGCTCTGCGTAAGACTTCACCTTGAATTTGCCAGGTCGGTTGAACTGGTTTGCCTGCTCAGTCGACCTCCTCGTGGGGTGGGGTGTTTATTTCCTCCCCTGTTATAATATTCGCTGGCTCCATGGTTGGAACTGTCAGATCTGCTACAATGTGAGCAGGATCTTTCTCTTCTCTGATGACACGGGGTGGTCTCGCAACTTCTTCGCTAGAATTGCGCCCCACATCTCCAAATCCGAGTCCTCCATCGTGTTCATGGAGCATCGTGGCCTCTTTTTGTCGACAGAAGCCATGTGCCTATCTAGTGACAAGGTAGTGTACTCCGTGAACTGAATGTGTGGAGTCGATGTGTTCAGTCCATCATCTTGTAGAATGTACAGCATAGGAACGAACGAACGAACGAACGAACAAATTCAGGTAAGATCCCAATGGGATGAGCGGGGAAGACGGAACAGTCGAAGAATAGCGCTGGAGAGGAGTGTTCTTAGTTGTAGAAATAGAGCCAGGGCTTAACCCAGCAGCTGAGGCGATCGTGGGATAGAGATGGAGAGATCAGGACTTGGGTGAGGATGTGGACGACGTGGGCAAGCTGTGCAGGCTGCGTCAAGGTGGTTGATCTGTAGATCTGGTCGGCGATTGGTTGCTGGAGATCGGCGGGAAGCGGGGTGGAGAGGGAGGCATGCTTCAATATGATTGGACGTTAAGTATGTCTGCGTTTTGTTAGCTTCTCGTTCCTGTCGTAGAGCCATTTTGAAGTCAATTTGAAAGCAGGTTTTGATAAGAAAGTAAGTTTGAGCAGACGTTTGCTGTTTTTTCCTAAGTTTGCAATTAGGGCAGTTTCAGTGTAGGATCGCATCCCGGAGCAACAGTGTACTTGATACTACCATGGTGCATGGAATAGATGACCTGAGGTGCATATAGCGACGGGGGTGTGAGGGTTATATGTATAGAAGGTGAGGGATTCAGTTGGTCTAAATATTATTTCCTCTTCCATTTCTTCAGGTCTTCGAGTATCTTGAGGTGAATTTTCAGGAGGAAGTGTCTTAGCTTTCTTGGCTTTTGGTGGTTGAGTTGGAGATGAAGCAGGTGGTTCGTTAGTAGTAGCAGATGAGGTGGAAGACTCAGGTGATTGGTCCACAGCGGTGGTGATGTTGGAAGTCGCTGATTGGTTGTTTCTTGGAGATGGAATTTCAGGTGTTGTGATGTTGCCTAATTCTTTGGTGAGCTTGATGATGTCGGCAGATGGTGGATAGTCTGGGAAAGTAAAGTTTGGCATGTTGTTCAATCGGAAGAGCTCGTTAATATGATGAATGGTTTGAAAAACCGACAAGTTGAAGATTGAGACACTTATGCAGCATATGGGAATCTTTATTCAGGAAACGTTTCGCCACACAGTGGCTTCATCAGTCCAATACAAAGAGGAAGGCGTAAGGAGAGGAGGAGTATGAGGTAATCAGTCCCTCAGCCTGGAGTCGATGTGTTCAGATTGATGGACTGAACACATCGACTCCAGGCTGAGGGACTGATTACCTCATACTCCTCCTCTCCTTACGCCTTCCTCTTTGTATTGGACTGATGAAGCCACTGTGTGGCGAAACGTTTCCTGAATAAAGATTCCCATATGCTGCATAAGTGTCTCAATCTTCAGCTCGTTAATAACAGTTTTGAAGGAGCCTGGTAACGCCATGTTATGCATGTGTGCATATAGCATACAGTAATGAATTTTCGTAGGTTCACACGCTGGTGGAGTAGTGGTGGAGGGTTGGGTAGCTTTTAAAAGTTTCGTTTTGTCGGCCTGGAGTTTGGTGATGGCAGCATAAGTAGGTGACTTGGAAGGTGTCTTCTGTTCTGCTTCCTAGCTTCTTTTCAGAATTTCTCGACGAGTGGGGCACTTTGCAGCGAGAGTATGGTGATTGTTTTTGCAGTTGAGACACTTAAGTGGGGCAGTAGAAGTGCAAGTCTTGGAATCGTGGTCTTCAGACCTGCAGGTACAGCAGAACTTTCTGTCTTTGGTGGGGCAGTCTTTTGTAGAGTGTAGGTAAGAGTAGCAACTCCAGCACAGAGTAATATGATGGTACCGCTCAGCTTCAATATGACTGGAGTTAATGAAGTAGTAGTATATGGCCAGGCCTTCAGCCATAGCTTGGGCAGCCATTGTCACATCAGTAAAAGTGATTTTCAGCATGGAGGAGGCAGTAGGAATCTTGGTGATGCTTTCAACTGTAGCCCAGGGATTTTGTTCTTCTATGGAGGTCTTTAGGTCTTCAACAGGTTGTATGGTAATCAGTTTGTCAAGTCTCTTCAAGAAGACAGTCCTCTTAGCCCGTAAGGCAGGAGAGGACATGACTTTGAAGCCACGGCCTGATAGAGTGGACAAAGCAGAGGAGGTCAGTAGTTTGTCAGCCTCAACATCGTCTTCACAGACAATAATGAAGGCTTCTTGGAATGAGAGGATGGTATTAATCTTGACCTGTGGACCTCTGACTGCCACAGCAAGGGCAAGCTTGGTAGAGTCATTGATGGTACCACTGGATGGTTTTATCTTGACTGTTGGAGAAGCTCATCTTGGGACAAGTTGTCGATGACAGCATAGGGCCGTAGACGTGGCTTATATGCTGTAGTCAGGTGAGGCGAAGCAGGAGGAGGCGGGGTCATAGTGGTACTATCCACTAGTCGAAGTAAGTCTTCGTCCAAAGGTTGGAACAAGTTTTGAAGAATTCTTTGTATCAAGATCCCATGATGATGCAGTGTCTGACAGTTGTGCTGAATGATTTTGAAAACCGCAAATTCTTCAACTTGTCGGTTTTCAAAACCATTCATCACAATACCACCTAAAGTACAGAGTGTGATGAGTGCAACCAATACGTTGAGTGCCAACACCAGTGTACGTTACCCCGCAGGTATGTGATGGTCGTCGGGACTGTAAAGAAGGTGAAGACGAGAAGTGTGCCAGCCAACTGAACTTCGATGTGCGGCTCGTCAACGGCTCTGGCCCCCACGAGGGCCGCGTCGAGGTCAGAGGTAACACAAAAAAAGTAGTGGAAAAAACAAAAGCAATCACTTTTAGGATGTGTTCAACGGAAATGGTCCAGGGACGTTATTCCCTGCAAATATGACCCAGGACCAAAACATTTTTCAGCAGACATGACCTATGTTAATTGTATTTTTTTTTTAACATCTAGTCATCCCTCAAGGGAGGTTCCTTGACGCTGGTGAGGGTCTCTTGATCTAGGAAACTGGATCTGTGCTCTAGTTCTCTGAATTGAACCTGAATACCTTCCATCCCCCCCCTCCACATGCGCTGTATAATCCTATGGGTTTAGCTCTCCACATGATTATAATAATAATTAACAAGTAGTCGGAATCAAGCATGTTTATATCGAGTGTATCAAAAGAATATCACTAGTGGCGATGCCAGAAAATTTTCTTATTTCAGTCCCTTGTTAATATATTCTAAGTGGATGGCAAGTGGCCAAGCGTCATATATAACTTTATATAGATCATGACTTAATAAAGCTCCTCATAGAGCGAAATGTCGTTCCAGTCAAATATTTAACAGTTTTTAGTAACTGAGGACAATCAGACAGGTATCTAGTTAGTTCTGATAGTTTTGACGAAGAAAAAAAGCTTGTGGGTAATGGATAGTCCTCCATTTAGTCTGATAAACTAACCTGTGGATGCTGGTATACTGCTCTACATTCTTACTAACTTTACTAACAACTTCTGTTGTTTTTATTTCATGTTGAGTTATTAAAGTTTTATAACCAAACAGCTTATGGTGACTCGTGTTTCTGGCAGTGTTCGGTCGATGGGGCCCCGTGTGTGACGACATGTGGGGGGTGCCAGATGGGGACGTAGTGTGCCAACAACTGGGCTTTACTTCCGGAGCTAAGGAAGTCTTCCAAAACTCACGGTGAGTAAACTCCAGTATTCTTGTACTGTCTTGCCCTTCAAAAATCTGTAAAGACTTTTTTTCAAAAGTAAAGATACTCGTGAAAAATAAGTCGGTACTGTGGCTAAGGTACACGCAAAAGCTACTAATCTGTGAAACGATTCTTTTTTTATGAAAGCGGTGAAGGTCTTGTTCAGGTAGGTCAGAGGATGCGTAAGAAATTAACGATCATTATCGGATAAGACCCTTGTCAGGATAGACTAGTTCCTACTGAAGAACATAATCCACAGACACAGCTCACAAATACCTTGTTAAGTGCGTATTTACATATTTATGTGTACCTCTCTGATCTAGTGGGTTTTAACCTCGGGGTAATTCGGCCTATTTCTGGGGGCCATGAAATGTCGTCATTCTTACCTCGAGGCAACCAAACTTTTCGAATACAAATGATAATTATATAAATTCCCAATGTAAATTTACCATTGAATCTATTTAAGGATCTGCATCTTCAGATATGTATGAATGCATATGGAATGCAGAAGTTATTTTTCACTTTTGTAAGACAATGCAAAACAAGCCACGGGGGGTGGGAGGTGGAAATCTTTAGATCAAGTCTTGCACACACACACACACACATATATATATATATATATATATATATATATATATATATATATATATATATGTCGTGCCGAATAGGCAGAACTTGACTCTTCACTCATAGAGTCTCAAAACTCCAGCCCGTCGCGTTAGCCACTAGTGGCTAACGCGACGGGCTGGAGTTTTGAGACTCGATGACCGCGGGTTCAATCCCGGCCGGGGGTATGGTTTAGGCAGAACTTGCGATCTTGGCTTAAATAGCAACGCTCATCTTGCCATATAGGACAAGCGAATATTTGTGTATGCAATAATTTCGCCAAAATCATTCTGAACCTAACGAAAAAAATATATTTCACTGTGTTTGTTTAGTATTAAATTATTGTAAACAAATCTAAAATATATTTAGATGGGTTAGGCTAAAATAAATTGTTCTTGTTATAATAAGGTTAGGTAAGTTTTCTAAGATTCTATTGTGGAAAATTATAACTTTATATATATATATATATATATATATATATATATATATATATATATATATATATATATATATATAATATATATATATATATATATATTATATTTTTCAACAAAACGGCCGTATCCCACCGAGGCAGGGTGGCCCAAAAAGAAAAACGAAAGTTTCTCTTTTTAAATTTAGTAATTTATGCGGGAGAAGGGGTTACTAGCCCCTTGCTCCCGGCATTTTAGTCGCCTCTTACAACACGCATGGCTTACGGAGGAAGAATTCTGTTCCACTTCCCCATGGAGATAAGAGGAAATAAACAAGAATAAGAACTAGAAAGAAAATAGAAGAAAACCCAGAAGGGTGTGTATATATATATGCTTGTACATGTATGTGTAGTGTGACCTAAGTGTAAGTTGAAGTAGCAAGACGTACCTGAAATCTTGCATGTTCATGAGACAGAAAAAAGGACACCAGCAATCCTACCATCATGTAAAACAATTACAGGTTTTCGTTGTACACTCACTTGGCAGGACGGTAGTACCTCCCTGGGCGGTTGCTGTCTACCAACCTACTACCTACAAGTACTATATGTATATTTATATATTTCAAAATGGAAGACAAGCATAATATAGTAGAGGCCTGACAATATGATTAATGAACAAATGAAATGATGCTGTAGTGCCTCCATTACTCGTGTCTTGAAAAAGTGCAATATCATACAACTGAAAATATAATATTAAATACATACAGTTTTGCTTAATTGCAACTGTAACAATAAATGATTAGCATAAAATATAAAGTACTGCAACATATATATATATATATATATATATATATATATATATATATATATATATATATATATATTATATATATATATATATATATATATATATATATATATAATATATATATATATAATCGTATTTTCAGGCATAAAAGAGGCGCCTTTTTTCCCACAAGCCTCGAAAACTCACCCTGCGCCTTATATGGTCAGGGTCAAGGGTAAGCTTTGGGTTACGCTTTAGTGTAAAGTAAGAGGGCAATTATCTCTTGAATATTACTGATTTACCGTTATGATGCGTCTGTCGTGCGCCTCATATGCCGAAAAATTTAGTACTATAATATCAACTCATTTTTCACGGTTCTTCTTTTTATTGGACTAATGAAGTCACTGGCTGGCGAGAAGTGTCCACAATAAAAATACCAAAGTTTTGTACAGTTATCTTAGTCATATGTTGAATTTACTTGTAATAACTCGTGTTAATTCCCACCTATTGTCGCTTGATCTCTCACCCCACAGTTTTGGCTGGGGCAGCGGGCAGTACCTGATGGATGATCTCAACTGCAACGGTAAAGAGGCCTCACTGGCTGAATGCGACTTCGCTGGCTGGAACAGACATGACTGTACGGAGTCAGAGGTCAGTAGTCCCGTTCAGTGTGGTTCCCAAGGGGGTGAGCTGGGTGCCCCTTGGTGTAGTGGGTTCCAAGGGGCTGTAGCTGGGTCCCCCTCGGTGTGATGGTTCTTTAGGGGTTATCGCTGGGTCCCTCTTAGTCTGATGGTTCTTAAGAGGGTGTCGCTAGGCCCCCTCGGTGTGATGGCTCTTAAGGGGGTGTTGCCGGGTCTCCCCTCGGTGTAATGGTTCTTAACACTAATTGAGTTCTCTCTCGGTATGCTTATCGCTCCCCTACTTTTCGTTGAAGGTATCTTTTACCGTCTGTCAAGCCTCTTGTTTCCATTTGGAGTAATTTCAGTGTGCAGATTTGTTACCAATACCTCCAGATTCTTTTAGATGTGGATTACGATGCATCTTTTTAGGGACTTCAAGCACTTATAGTAATTTAGGGGCTTTACTGAGTTTATACGAGCTACGAAGGTTATATGCATATTCTCCAGTTCCGCGATTTCGCTTGCTTTGAAAGGGGACCTTAGTACACACTAATATTCCAGTCGAAAGAGAACGAGTGATTTGAAGAATATCATAAATGGTCGACACAAAATCCTTTCTTATCCTGTAGTTTTTCAATTATTTATCTTTTTTTTCCCCCAGGCGGCAGGGGTGTTGTGTTACCAGCGTGGGGATTTGTGTGCGCTGGAGCAGTGGAGGTGCGACAACGGTCGCTGTGTCGAGTACAGGTTCCTCTGCGACAACACCGATGACTGCAACGACAACTCCGACGAGGACCAAGAGATGTGCAAGGTATAACCAACTCTCACCCCTCTCTCAGATCCTGGAGTCTGACTGTGTTGATAAAGTACTGTGTATCCTGATGCCGAGTTTGCAGGTTCTATAGTTTTATAGTTTTTTTTTATTAACACATCGGCCATTTCCCACCAAGGCAGGGTGACCGGAAAAAAGAAGAATCACTTTCATAATCATCATTCACTCCATCACTGTCTTGCCAGAGACGTGCTTACACTACAGTTATAAAACTGCAACATTAACACCCCTCCTTCAGAGTGCAGACACTGTACTTCCCATCTCCAGGACTCAAGTCCGGCCTGCCGGTTTCCCAGAATCAATTCATAAATGTTACCTTGCTCACACTCCAACAGCACGTCAAGTCCTAAAAACCATTTGTCTCCATTTGCTCCTATTTAACATGCTCAAGCATGCTTGCTGGAAGTCCAAGCCTCTCGCACACAAAACCTACTTTACCCCCTCCCTCCAACCTTTTCTAGGCCGACCCCTACCCCACCTTCCTTCCACTACAGATTTATACGCTCTCCAGGTCATTCTATTCCGTTCCATATTCTTTAAATGTTCGAACCACCTCAACAACCCCTCCTCAGCCCTCTGGATAATAGTTTTAGTAATCCCGCACCTCCTCCTAATTTCCAAACTATGAATTCTCTGCATTATATTCACACCACACATTGCCCTCAGATACGACATCTGCACTGCCTCCAGCCTTCTCCTTGTTGCAACATTCACCACCCATGCTTCACACCCATATAAGAGCATTGGCATGACTATACTCTCATACATTCCTCTCTTTGCTTCCAAGGACAAAGTCCTTTGTCTCCACAGACTCTTCATTGCACCACTCAGTGCGCCCTCATCAATTCTATGATTCACCTCGTCTTTCATAGGCCCATCTGCTGACAAGTTCACTCCGAGATATATGAATACATTCACTTCCTCCATATTCTCTCCCTCCAATCTGATATCCAGTCTTTTATTACCTAAATTTTTTTGTTACCCTCATCACCTTACTCTTCCCTATGTTCAATTTTAATTTCCTTCTTTTATATATCTTATAAAAACTCATCCACTAACCTCTGTAACTTCTCTTCAGAATCTCCCAAAAGCACAGTGTCATTAGCAAATAGCATCTGTTACTACTCCCACTCTATGTTAGATTCTTTATCTTTTAATCTCATGCCTCTTGCCAACACCTGAGCATTCACTTCTCTTACAACCCTATCCATAAATATACTGAACAACCATGGTGACATCACACATACCTAAGGCCTAGTTTTACTGGAAAATAATCTTCTTTCCTACTAATTCTAACTTGAGCCTCACAATCCTCATAAAAACTCTTTACTGCTTTCAGTAGCCTACCTCCTATTCCATACATTTGCAACATCTGCCACATTGCTCCCTATCCACCCTGTCATACGCCTTTTCCGAATTCATAAATGCTCCAAAAACTTTTTTACCTTTATCTAAATACTGTTCACTTATATGTTTCACTGTAAACACCTGGTCCACACACCCCCTACCCTTCCTAAAGCCTCCTTGTTCATCTGTTATCCTTCTCTCCATCTTGCTCTTAATTCTTTGAATAATAACTATACCATACACTTTACCAGGTGTGCTCAGCAGGCTTTTTTTTTCAACAAGTCGACCGTCTCCCACCGAGGCAGGGTGACCTAAAAAAAAAGAAAATCCCCAAAAAGAAAATACTTTCATCATCATTCAACACTTTCACCTCACTCACACATAATCACTGTTTCTGCAGAGGTGCCCAGAATACAACATTTTAGAAGCATATACGTATAAAGATACACAATATATCCCTCCAAACTGTCAATATCCCGAACCCCTCCTTTAGAGTGCAGGCATTGTACTTCCCATTTCCAGGACTCAAGTCCGGCTATATAAAATAACCGGTTTCTCTGAATCCCTTCATTAAATATTACCCTGCACACACTCCAACAGCTCGTCAGGTCCCAAATACCATTCGTCTCCATTCACTCCTATCTAACACGCTCACGCACGCTTGCTGGAAGTCCAAGCCCCTCGCACACAAAACCTCCTTTACCCCCTCCCTCCAACCTTTTCGAGGACGACCCCTACCCCGCCTTCCTTCCCCTACAGATTTATACGCTCTCCATGTCATTCTACATTCTCCATTCCCCTATAATTTTTACTCTCTCTCTTTTGTTCCTTTTGCGTTTATAAAAAGGAACTATGTATGCTCTCTGCCACTCCCTACCCAAACTCCCTCTTCAATACGTTTATTAATAAAAGCACTAACCACTCCAAAACTATATCCTCGTTTGCTTTTAACATTTCTGTCTGTATCCCATCAATCCCAGCTGCTTTACCCCCTTTCATTCTACTCACTGCCTCACACACCTCACCCACACTCACAACTGACTCTTCATCACTCCTACAAGATGATATACCTCCCTTCCCAATACACGAACTCACAGCTTCCCTTTCTTCATCAACATTTAAGAGTTCCTCAAAATATTCCCTCTATCTTCCTGATACCTCTAACTCACTGTCTAATAACTCTCCTCTCCTATTTTTAACTGTAAAATCCGTTCGTCCCCTAGGCTTTCTTAACTTGTTAAACTCACTCCAAAACCTTTCCTTATTCTCAGCAAAATTTGTTGATAGCATCTCACCCACTCTCTCATTTGCTCTCCTCTTACATTCCTTCATCACTTTTTTTTACACAAGGTTTGACAAGGTTAGGTTAAGGGTCCCTAGCTTTATTGACAAGCTATTTACAGGCTAAGGATTCCTAACTTTATTGACAAGCTAAGAGCTGTTACCTACATCAGCTCATTTGAAAGCATTTTTATTGTTATGAGACATACAAGTAGGGAACAGGATGAAGTTGGAGCCATCTGTGGGCCAGCATTTTCTTCTGATCAACTGCCTATCTCGTTGACATCATAATGCTGTACTCTCTCTTAGCCTCTCCTTTTCTCTCTTTATATTCCTCCCTCCTTGCATCACTTCTACTTTGTAAAAATCTCTCATATGCTAACTTTTTCTCTCTTACTCCTCTCTTTACCACATCATTCCACTAATTGCTCTTCTTCCCTCCCGCACCCAATTTTTATTCCAGTGACAGTTATGTAAAAATGTAAAAATGAATGAATATTTGAACCAAACTTAGAAACTTCACTTAGCGTCACTTAAACTAACCCATAAATTAGAAATGAAATCTAGACGGCATTCCAGTCCATCTTGGGTTAGTTGTGAATCTACCTAACCCTTTAATATTTCACTGCAAGTTCAGGTATTTTCGTTCACTTCTCTTCTGTTTTCCACAGGCCCCAGTGGAGGTGCGCCTAGCTGGAGGTGGCGCAGGTGAAGGCGTGCATCAGGGGGTGAGAACTGTCCAGGGGCGTGTGGAGGTGAATTACATGGGCATCTGGGGTAGTGTGTGCGATGACTTCATCGGTACTGAAGAAGCGCATGTAAGCACATCACCAAAATAAAGACGGGTATAATACAAGATCAAGACTATTAGATAACGTTTCGCCAATAAATGGCGAACGAAACATACTTTGCTAGAAGCGCATTTTGCCTTCCAACTATTTCGTTCAGAGAAAATGGGTCAGAATTTGAGGAAGAAATGCGTCACGAGAAATTTTTCCCTGCCGAAGGATGCTTCTCTGACATCTCGGTATTTGGAGTTTTGTCTGTATCTGAAAGCACTGTATCTTGTTGGTACAGCTATGTACTCGCACTGCAAGTGCCGTATCGTATCTGCATAACTCTATGCTCACTCTGCAGGTGCTGTGTCGCATGCTGGGATGGGAAAGGGCCTTATATGTCTATAAGAATAACACCTTCGGCCCTGGTAGTGGTCCGGTGTGGCTGAAAGTCCTGAAGTGCCGGGGGAACGAGACCAATGTAGTACAGTGCCAACGCGCGCTCTGGGGCCACACCAATTGCGACCACACCGAGGACCTCGGACTTCGATGCTCAAACAATCCAACGGTTGGTCGAATTTACAGATAATGTGTCTGTGACCCCCCCCCCCCCTTCCATAAAAAATGCCTCCAACGTAAAATATCTACACCGAAAACTAATATCTGCTGCTAAAAATGTATCTTTTAAAAAATGCCTATCAAAAGTGATTCCCTCAAAAAAAGGCCTATCAATCAATCAATCAATCAAGTTTATTCTCTATAAAGATTAAAATGCGGGGTTTACAGATTTTGGGTATTGTGTGGTTTACATGTAATAAAATACTAATTACAGAGTGTACCACTAGGACACCTAGCATGGCTAGGCATTTCGGGCAAACTTAGATTAATTCTTAACCCTAAATTATTACAAATTATGGAGTAAGTTGACTAAATACTAAGTGACTAATACTAGTTTGTGAGTTTATAAATGTGAATGCTTTTGTTTTGGCACAATACATAGTTTCTATATTGGAGTATCACAGACAAACTTATAACTAGCTAGGAATCATTATTTTAAGATTAAGATTCGTATTTCTGTGCTTATAGTCAAATGGGTGAGTGAGTGAGTGTAAGTGTGAATCCACCAGGTGGTTTTTATGTAGTTAGTTGACGGGGAATATCAGAGAGATAAGATATTTTCTAACGGTAGTTTTGAAAGTGATGAATGTGTCTGCAGTTCTAGAGTTTTCAGGTAGGGTGTTCCATATTTTAGAGCCTTTGACGTACATTGAATTTTTGTAAAGGTTTAGTCGGACACGGGGAATGTCGTAGAGATGTTTGTGTCTGGTGTTATGCCTGTGGGTCCTGTCACAACTATCAAGAAAGCGTTTTAGGTCAGGGTTAATATTGGAATTTAAGGTCCTGTAGATGTAGATTGCACAGTAGTAAGTGTGGATGTTCTGAACAGGGAGTAAGTTTAGATCTATGAAGAGTGGGGGGTGTGTTGCCAGGGATGGGATTTAGTGATTATTCTTACTGTGGCTTTTTGTTGGGTTATTATTGGCTTTAGGTGTGTTGCTGCAGTTGATCCCCAAGCACAGATAGCATAGGTGAGGTATGGATAAATGAGTGAATGGTATAGTGTGAGAAGGGCATTTTGCGGCACGTAGTATCGTATCTTGGAGAGGATCCCAACTGTTTTGGATACTTTTTTTGCTATTTGTTGGATATGGGTGCTGAAATTCAGGTTGTTGTCGAGGTATAGGCCTAGGAATTTGCCCTCATTATGTCTGGCAATTAGAGTGTTGTCGATCTTAATGTAAGTTGCGCAACACCTGCTCTGCTACCAAACATAATATAGTAGGTTTTGTCAGTGTTGAGTGTAAGTTTATTGGCTGTCATCCAAGTCGATATTTTGAGCAGCTCCTCATTAACAATGGTGTTGAGGGTGGCAAGATTAGGATGGGAGATAACGTAAGTCGTGTCGTCAGCAAAGAGAATGGGTTTCAGGTGTTGGGATACGTTTGGAAGATCACTGATGTAAATGAGGAAGAGCAAGGAACCAAGGACACTTCCCTGCGGAACTCCAGTATCGAGTGGCCGTGTTGATGATGCTGTGTCTTTAATGGTGACATACTGATACCTATTAGTAAGGTAAGATTTGAAATATGCAAGCGCATGGCCTCTTATACCGTAATGGTCAAGTTTGTGGAGTAGGATGCCGTGATCTACTGTGTCAAAAGCTTTTCTTAGGTCAATAAAAATTCCTAGCGGCCTACCTCAAAAATGCCTCGAGAATACCTAAAAATAAAAACAACAACAACAATGCCTTCATCAGCAAAGTACACAAATCCTCCTGTAAAAGTTTGGTGAAGAGTGACTACAAGAAGCACCATTCACTTTATTACAGAATCCTCACGACCAGCAGACCATGTGTGTAATAAAGTTGGTAGAATTACGACAATGGCTTGATAAAGCTCCTGGAGAGCGAAACGTTGCCACAATAAATGTCACATTAGTTGCACTTGTGTCCTTTTACTTTACAGACCATGTGTGGGAGAGCGGAGGTGCACGACAATCCGCCCTTCAAGGCTGGGCAATCCAGGGTGGTGAGTGGCCACACCGCCCTTCGTGGCGCCTACCCCTGGCAGGTTAGTCTCTCCTAGTACTGTACCTTTGATATACCTTTGAAGAGTTTCGAGAGTTTATCTACTCTCTGAGGCCAGGCTCGTCTGGTGCTTGCCTGGTCAACCAGGCTGCTGCTGCTTTAGGCCCGCTGCCCCACATATCCATCACAGTCTGGTTGATCTGGCACCTGGTGAAGATACTTGTCCAATTTCCTCTTGAAGGCTTCTACACTTGTTCCAGCCGTGTTTCTGATATCTTCTGGTAGGATGTTGAATAGTTTGGGACCCCGGATGTTGATACAATGTTCCCTTATTGTCCACACCGCACCCCTGCTCCTCACTGGGTTTATTTTACACTTCCTCCCATATCTCTCACTCCAGTATGTTGTTATGGCAATGTGCAGATTTGGGACCAAGCCCTCGAGTGTTTTCCAGGTATATATTATCATGTACCTCTCTCTCCTCCGCTCCAATGAATACATGTTCAAGACTTGTAGGCATTCCCAGTAGTTTAGGTGCTTTACAGGCTCAATGTGAGCCGTAAACGATCTCTGTATTTGTTCCAGCTCCGATATTTCTCCTGCCTTGAACGGGGCCGTCAGCACTGAATAATATTCTAGGGAGGGAGCACTAGCGATTTGAAGAGTGCCACCATCGGCATTATTTCCCTTGTTTTGAAAGTTCTTCCTGGCTGTCGTGATCTTTGTCTTGTTATGGTCTTTAAAAGAAAGGTCCGCTGACATAATTATTCCCAGGTCTTTTACGTGTTCCTTACGTTCTATTTGGTGACCCTCTTGAGTTTTGTATATAGTGCTCCTTTTAAGTTCTTCATTCTTTCCATACCTAAGCAGCTGGAACTTATCACCATTGAACGTCATGTTGTTGTTCACTGCCCAATGGAAAACCCTGTTTATGTCTTCCTGTACCTTTTTCAGTGTCCTCTACCGTGGTGACTTTCATGCTTATTTCAGTGTCATCTGCAAATGATGATATAAAAGTATGTCGGGTGTTTTTGTCTATGTCTGCTTTGAGGATGAGAAACAGCAGAGGTGCCAGGACAGTGCCTTGGGGCACTGAGCTTTTGACCTTGCTGATGCTGAATCTTGCCCTGTTCACTACTACTTTTTGTTTTCTTTGTGTTAGGAAACCGAAAATGCATCTGCCTACCTTCCCCGTAATGCCCATGGCCTTCATTTTGTGCGCTATCACTCCATGATCGCATTTATCAAACGCTTTTGCAAAATCTGTGTAAATCACCACTGCATTTTGGTCGTCTTCCAGTGCCTCCGTAATTCTGTCATAATGGTTCAGTAGCTGTGACAGGCATGACCGTCCTGCTCTAAAACCATGATGGTTCGGGTTATGTTGGTTGTGCTGCTCCATGAAATTTGTAACCTGCCGTCTCATCACTCTTTCGAAGTTTTTATGATGTGAAAAGTTAGGGCTACTGGTCTGTAATTTTTAGCTAGTGCTCTACTACCTCCCTTATGCAAAGGAGCTATGTCTACACTCTTTAAGCCTCCGGTATTTCACCTAGATCTAAGCTCTTTCTCCAAAGAATACTGAGTGCTCGTGCTAGTGTACTTTGCACTTCTTTATAAACAGAGCATTCCATGAATCTGGTCCAGGTGCTGAGTGAGTGGGAATGTTTTCCATTTCTTCGAAAACTATGGGATTTGTACTAATGTCAGTTAGTTGGTCTGTGCGGCCTTCTTCTGGAGTGAAAAATATTTCTGCATTTTCTACCTTACTGTCATTTAGTGGCTTGCTGAACACCGACTCATACTTTTAGGATTTCACTCATTTCCTGTTCATCGTCAGTATACGAGTCTCCTCACAGTAGTGGTCCAATTTTACAGATAGTTCTTAACTTGAATTTTGCATAGGAATAGAAATATTTTGGGTTTCTTGCAATATCCTGTATGGCCCTTTGTTCCCTTTGTACTTCTTCTGTGAGGTATGACATCCTAAGTTTTTGCTCTAATTCAGTGATCTCTCTGCTAAGTCTATCTTTCCTCTGTTGTAGCATATTTGTGTTTTTAAGCAGTTCAGTAACCTGTTTTCTTCTTCTGTACCATCTCCTACGCTCTCCCTCTATATCTGATCTTCCTCTGGGTTTTCTTAATGGTACATGTTTCATACATACTTTGTATGCTTCTGTATTCAGCTTCTCTACGCACTGTTGGGGATTTAGGTCGCTCATGTCTGATTCCCAGGGTATGTCTGATAATTCTTGGTTTATTTTTTCCCAGTCAATTCTATGGCTGTTAAAATTAAACTTGCTGAACATCCCGTCTCTAACATTAGTGATGCATTTTCGTAAGCCTGAGTTAATACTCGTTTGAACCTCTATGATGTTATGGTCAGAGTATATTGTTTTTGTAACTGTTTTATCTCTGATCAGTTCCTCATTGTTTGTGAATATCAAACCCAGGGTATTTTCATTTCTAGTGGGATCAATTACCTCTTGGTTTAAAGAGTAACTTTTCATAAAACCTCATTATTTCCCTGGTATGTACCTGTTGAGCCAGGATGCTTCCCGAGGATATTTCTGGTATAACATTACGTTGCGCCATCTTCCATTTTACATGAGGGAGATTAAAATCTCCAAGGAGTAAAATATTTGGTGTGGGATTTTCTAGTCTATCCAGATAGCTATATATCTTCCTTAGCTGATCTGTGAATTCCTCAGCAGTTGCTGATGGTGTTTGTATACTAGGATGATTACCAAATCCCTGTTTTCAACTTTAATGCCTAGAATTTCTACTATATCATTCGTAGAGTTCAGCACTTCTGTACATAGAGTCCTACTCCTCCCTGTGACCTATTGATTCTATCACATCTATACATGTGATAGTTTTCTATCTTTAACTCTCCATCCAAAACATCCCTTGTATGTGTTTCTGTAAATGCCCCAAACATGACATTCGCTTCTGTTAGGAACCCACTGACAACTAATTTTATCATAATTATTTGATTTTAAACCCTGAATATTTGCAAATGTGAAGCAGGAATTACCATTTGATTTTGCACTTCCGTTACGTTGTGTTAGAAACAGTGTTAATGTTATTAGATAATTTTAGTTTATCATTATGATTATCATAAATATTATTTCTATAATTAAAAGCTATCTAGATCTCGTTAAGTGATATTTTGGAGAAATGAAGACTGATGGACAGTGGCCCGTGGCCTGGTGGCAAAAGCTCTCGCTTCACACGGTGAGTATCCAGGTTCAATTCCCGGCGAGGGTCGAAACATTGGGCGTGTTTCCTTACACCGGTTGTCCATGTTCCCCCATCAGTAGTAATGGGTACCTGGGTGTTAGTCGACTGGTGTGGGTCACATCAGGTGGCAAACCTGGCCTAATTTGCCGGAAATGTTCAGCATAACAAGCGGCTTTCTATATAGTAGTATGTCATTGATGTCAGCTATGGTCTGTATACCTTGTACATGTACTTGTAGTAATAAAGATATTTTTATTACATTATATTATTATTGAAAGTACTAGGATAAGGAACGTAGAATAAATCTGAGAAACGTTAGGAAACATCAATACGAAGACTGTGAACTGGGAAAATTATATAGCAGAGGCTAATACGTTGACGGTTTTAAAAACAAGTGCCAAGGATAGATCACGTCGGCCAACTTAACGGGTTTGTTTGGTATGTGCTGCAAGCGGGTGGTTAATGATACGTCTTCGGAGGCTTCTTAGTTTATTGTTAAGTCGTAGGTGGGTTACACAGGCTTGTGTGTTTGTGCCCATGGCCCGGGCAGGGCCATCCCACGAGAGAGAGCTGGGAGGCCTTGTGTCTTGCTGCTAGGCCGCTGTGTGAGTGAGGGTGAGGCAAGTCTGGGTATACTGAAGTGGCAAGGCCTATAGGTGGCAGCACCAGCATGACGCGAAATATGAACTAAGCTGGCAGACAGCATGGGCTGTCTGTGCAGACAGTACAGGCTGTCTACAAACTGACAGAAACATACAAATGTTGTCTACTCCTGGGAAGAAAATCCAAAGAAAACAACAAAATTTACGAATGAAAATACGAAATGCTCGAAGTTGTACGAAAACATCGTCTAGTTTTCATTTGCAGTTAACAGGTCAAATGTGAATTGTAGCGCCACGTATTGTGACCCTTTTTTCTTCATTCTAAATACTTGCACCAATAAACAATAAACCTCTGGTATTCGCAGGTGGCCATCTACCTTCGGTTATTTCACTGGTCATTTCACTGTGGAGGAGCGATACTGAACACAGATTATGTGCTGACAGCTGCCCACTGCATGAAATATTCGCCTCCTACCGCATCAAGATAGGAGACTACTCCCTTCGGGTGAGTAGGAGTAGAGGAAGGAAGGGGAAAAAGTGAGACATTAATCACTTAAAATTTTAATTCACCTTTACACAAGAATCAACAGTACTTTAATCCTTAATAAAGGGTTTAAAGAATTCTCTTTAATCCCCAGTAAGAATTAACATTCTTGACGTTAGTGTTGAGGCGAACTACAGACCTATTTAATGTTCCACGACCACTTCAAATTTTAATTATTTATTTGTGATTAGATGAAAAGAGCAGAGATTTTCTTTTGTTTTCATTAAATATAATTACATGTATTTTTCATATTTCTGGAAAGTTTTCTCTACTCGCAACATCTTCCAGGAGGTTTTCCACACATCAACTACCATATATGTAAATAAATACTCCCCGCAATATTTCTTTTTTTTATATTTCTTTATCCTCAACCTTAGATTACCTTCTCCTTTCTACCCTCTTACTTGTTCCAAAAAAATCCTCATTTTCGTATAGCTAACAGAGAACCTGGAGCCATTCTGAGAAGCTTCCTCCTCTTTCAATTATTTCTCCTTTATTTGTTTTTACTCTCGTTTCTGCAATCATTCTCTCTCTCTCTCTCTCTCTCTCTCTCTCTCTCTCTCTCTCTCTCTCTCTCTCTCTCTCTCTCTCTCTCTCTCTCTCTCTCTCTCTCTCTCTCTCACCCACCAGTCTTTTCGGTGTTTCCTGATCTCCTACGTTCTATTTCCCTGCTCTCTCTTCTCTCTTTCTCTTCCCTGCTGCTTTCTCTTTAGCTTTTGCACTTCGCCCTCCCTGCCCATTAACCATTCTTCCTGCTTCATGCAGAGAGACGAAGAGGAGGAACAAGTGTTTAATGTATCGACCATATTTATCCACCCGGAGTACAGACCGGTCTGTCTACCTTGACAATGACGTGGCTCTCATCAAGATTGTCAGGAAGAACGGTAGAGGCATACAGTAAGTCGATAACAAACTTGTACAGTACTAAAGTCGTTCACACACACTTGTGCTGCTTTACAGTAACAGAAACATACCTACAGGATTTCAGTATACCACAGGCTCCTACACTAGTAATTATAAGTAAGCTCTAAACCACCAGGGCCATACAGCGCTGTACTATGTCCACACATATAAGAAAATTTTTTATTATCGCACAATTTTCTTCTCGTCTTATATGAAATGTCTTATAAACATACAACTGTCAGAAAGGTTGGATTCTTTGCATTAACTGAAGAAAATGAATCTTCCGGTCGGGTTCAAACTTTTAGTGCTGATGTGTTTTTCTCAAAGGAACCTACACCTCGATTTAGGATTATGTATTTTTTTGTGTGTATTATATATATTGATTTGTGTGAAAGACCTGGAGAATGCTTTTTCTGATCGGCTTTAAACCTTAAACGCTGGTGAATCTTACTTAGAAAAAGAGTTTGGATTGATTTTTCCCGAAGGAATTGGCAAAATGAAAATACGGGTTTATCACAAGATAATTTGACCCTTATATCATTGGCTTCAGGTCTTCAAATCCGATAACTCGATAATGCAGCTTCTGAGCGGGTTTAAACTCGAAGTGCTGGTAGAAACTGATCTCTGTGAAAAACAAAAACTGAATATTATAATCAAAACCAAGCGCTAAACCCACGAGGGTCATACAGCGCTACAGTTTCTCAGCGGAAGGTTGGAATTAGTTTAGGGGCTGTGCATGTTTAAATATCCCATTTGTAATTGAGGAAACTGGAATTTAGTTTCCATGTGATGACTTGTGAAGACCTTTTCCGATTAGCTTCATTGTCTTCAACTCGAACGTTTGACAGCATTGCGAACTTTATGCCGCACTCTGCACTATTCACTGAGGTAGAGGGGGAGGGGCGAGGTTATGCAACACGAAGATACTTTCACAGATCGTGCAGTGAACGCAATACATCTGGTCACTTTATTATTTACTAATATTAAAGAGGAAAGCGCTCGGTGCGCAGGGGTCACACAGCATCTCGGAAATGGGAAGCAGTGATCGGATTCGATCCGGGGGTTGGGTAGAACACAGCGCCCAGGGAGTGGTGGGTAATCACATCTGATCTGGAACTAAGAGGAAAGGTAGAGATCAATTCCTCGCTTCGAGATCCCCTTCAGCAGCGTCAAGATGGATGGTATCTCTGCCATTCGCGCTATGGTCCAGCACTTGTTCAGGTGCAGTGTCGGTCAACTGATTAAGTTCACCAATCTCTGATGGAGAGAAAAACCTGACTTGATATCATCAAGTGTTGGAGCAGGAATGGATGCATGACTTCACATTCTCTTCTTCCACAGGTTCGGCAAGTTCGCCCAACCTGTGTGTCTGGTGCCGCCTGCCTGGAGGTATATTCCAGGTTTGTGCTGTGCCGTGGCTGGGTGGGGCAGGTTAGCATACAATGGAAGTACGTATCCGGCTAGATGCATTCCTTTTTTTTTCGTCCTAGTACCATGCTAAATAAATATTTTCAAGGTACCAATGACAGATACCATTACCACACAGAATTGATTCTAAATTGTCCTACTATATCGATAAATACATCACTGTTCAAAGGCCAGTTAGATTACCAATACCTTAAAAATAAATCCTTCATTGTCCCACTAACATGCTAAATAAATAATTAATTGTTCTAAGTATCATGCACAAACAGATCCTACAATGTCCTACTACCGTTATACATTTTTGTTTCAGGTCAGCTAAACATCAGTACCATGTAGGCAGCACTAAATACCATAAGAACCATGATAAACTTACAATTTAAGAGGCAGTCCAAGCCACCAGCCCACCATTCTAGGAAAGAGATGTCTAGAACCTCCCATCTTCTTGCAGTAAAGCCCGAGCTGCTTCAGGCTGCCTTCGTGTCCATCCTGCCGGATGAAATGTGTACTACGGACCAAGCGTACGGGGCATCAAGTATCACCCAGGGGATGTACTGCGCAGGATACCCGGAAGGAGGTATTGATGCCTGTGAGGGTGACTCCGGAAGTCCAATGGTTTGCAAGGTGGACGGTGAGTGATTATTAGTTTTATTGTTTCTGATATTGTTTACAACTTTGGCTTTTGTTATGCTTGTTAATTTCTGCTTTGTTTACCTTTTCCCGCTGTTCTTTCATGACCTTATGTGTGGCTATGTTTTCTCATTTACTAGTTGTTTATCTTCGATAACAGCTATTAAAACGCAAGCATGAAAAGGACTAAATATCAGTATCATTAGCATATCGTTATTATTATAATGAAAAGAAGCGCTAAACCTACAAGGGTCATACAACGCAGTCCTGTGTGTTGTTAAATGCTTCGTTATATATTTTTTTTCGTTTTTTCCCCCTCTTGTTTTTAATTTATACCTTTAAGTTTTCAACAGTTGTGCCTTGGATTATTACCTATATTATCAGTCCGCTTTCTTCCTTCCTCTCTCTCTCTCTCTCTCTCTCTCTCTCTCTCTCTCTCTCTCTCTCTCTCTCTCTCTCTCTCTCTCTCTCTCTCTCTCTCTCTCTCTCTCTTATACCTAGTTTTTCACATTTGTATGCTAATCTAGAGCTTTTCTCTAATCTAGTTTCTGTTAGACCTATTGTCTCTCATTTGTTTTCGTTTCTAATATGCTGTAACTCTGGTTTTGTATTCCATGCATAAAACAATTACACTTTTTTCTGTCGTTTTCATGGGCGTTTATATTTCATATAAGAGAGGAGAGAGAGAGAGAAGAGGAGAGAGAGAGAGAGAGAGAGAGAGTGTGTGTGTGTGATGTGTATAAAACCCACAGCCTCGGAGAAGATGGGGTGCAAGAAGGTTTTGTATACATACCCACTAATGCAAATGTCTGTATGAACCTGTAAGTAATGACATTAAACTACGAGTTAGTTGAGACTGGTGGCTAAAGCTCAGCTTCACACACGAGGAGGGCCCGGGTTCGATTCCCGCGTGTGGAAACATTTCGAAACATTTCCTTATCCTGTTGTCTGTTCACCTGCAGCAGAATAGTACCTGGTGTTAGTCGATGGTGTGGGCCGCACCTGGGGGGGACAAGGTTAAGACCCCACAATGGTAAATGAAGTTAACTCGAGTGACGCAACTGCTTTCCATGGGTTATCCTGGTGCTACCTAGCGGAAAAATTCGAACGAAATCTTCTTAACTCATGTCTTCACCAGGTAGTACACGGTTTAGTCATCGTTCACTGGGGCAAAAGGTGCCTACCGGACAAACGTTAACTCAGACCACTACTCCCTGATTGGATCTCCTCATCGTGAACATAATCTTTCTCCCAACGGGTACAGCATCCACTCGTCTACCCACTAAACTTCTCCAAACTTGCTACCTCATGTCTCCAACTAATCTACTCCAAACTGGGCTAGCTCACTCGTCTACCACTAATCTACTCCAAACTGGGCTAGCTCACTCGTCTACCAGCTAATCTACTCCAAACTGGGCTAGCTCACTCGTCTAACTACTAATCTACTCCAAACTGGGCTAACTCACTCGTCTACCAGCTAATCTACTCCAAACTGGGCTAGCTCACTCGTCTACCACTAATCTACTCCAAACTGGGCTAACTCACTCGTCTACCAGCTAATCTACTCCAGACTGGGCTAACTCACTCGTCTACCAGCTAATCTACTCCAGACTGGGCTAACTCACTCGTCTACCAGCTAATCTACTCCAGACTGGGCTAACTCATCGTTTCCATAATCTACTCCAGACTGGGCTAACTCACTCGTCTACCAGCTAATCTACTCCAGACTGGTCTAACTCACTCGTTTTCACTAATCTAAAGTTGTATGCTTCTTATATGAGATTAGTTAATTCTTATGTATTTTCATGTCCTGAATCCAAATATCGCCTTGAAAAATGCTGTTTGTTATAGGTTTAAAGATACGAGACATGTAATATTTGATTATTTTATTATAACATACAATATGTGTCAGTATGTTTTAAACTCTAATTCGTACCTACTCTCTGCCGTTCCTACTCTCTGACTTTTTACTTGACTTTTATAGTGGGCTGAAGAATCATCTCTTGCCAATGTCCAGCAATAATCTGCAAGCATTCTTGTGCCCCATTTGCCTTGGTACCATTTTTTCCATGGTTGAAATATCTTGGTGAAACCTTTTACTATATTCGTCACTAACTTCCTCACATTCGTTGGAAAAGTCTAAATTTGAGTCCAAAAAGTAGATTTTAAGTGACATGTTACATCCCATGTTCTTGTAAGCCTTGATGAGGTTTTCCACCAATTCTTCATAGTTGCCTTCCCTTCTGTTTCCCAGAAATCCCTTCACCACTAACTTGAATGCTTCCCAAGCAGCTTTCTCCTCCCCATGAAGGTCTGATTCAAGGTCATCATCTTCAAGAAGCTCTCGAATCTGAGGACCATTGAAGACTCCCTCTCTTATCTTAGCGTCGCTCAGTGAGGGGAATTTTGATGTTAAATACTTGAATCCCTGACCAGATTTATTCATAGCTTTTACAAAGTTTTCATAAGTCCCAGTTTTATGTGTAGTGGTGGTAGCAAAATTTTGTTTGGTTCAATGAGAGGTGGATGTTGAACATTTTTCATCCCGGGTTCCAATGACTGACGAGGTGTCAGTCACTCCTGATGTAGTGGGACCCTCTTGCACGGCTGTCCCATTCACACAAAAAGCAGCAGTATATGGTGCATCCACTTTGCAATGCCCATCACAAGAGCAGCTAACCTACTTTTCACCTCATAATATAGACTTGGACATCATAACCACCTTCTATGACTGCTGGAACAATAATGAAGGTCAGTGAGACTGTGAGTGTGGTAAGAAACACACTGCCACAAGCCTGTTGCAACCTGTTGTGACACGTAGGTGTATATTGAAAAGTAGAATTAACAAACAATTTTAACCATGTTACTCATTATCAGTGACCTAAAATTAGTTGGAAATTGCTACTCTTGTCTCGGAAGCATTTTGGGTGTTGACCAGTGTAATCTACTCCAATCTCGGATGCCTAATCAAAAGTTAGATATATGTCAGCCTGAGCTAGCTTACCCAATCTGCAAGTCTGGGATGACTTGCTCGTCAACAAGTCGACGTTCTGCCTGAGTTGGCTTAAATTCGTCAGAAGATTAATCGACTCTCCTTGGCAGTGCCGTTCCGAGATTTCTGTAGTGGAAGCTCGGTAGCCAAGACGGTAGAGCGATAGACTGCCAATTTATGGACCCCCATTTCGAGCCCTTTACCTGTAAAGCGTCGGGCTGCCCGATGTTTTACGCTTCTGCCTTGCCTCAGAGAGAATTTTCCCCCTACTATCTGTTGCTAGTCTTGCAACATCGCATAGCTCATGACGAAGCACAGAGAGTGTAAAAGACCTTGAGCGAAAAGATTTCCATCCCCATGTGGCTTGTTTTGCATTAAGTTCGCATGTATATATATATGTCGCTCCGAATATGTAAAACTGGTCAATTAACAAGAACTCAATTAAAATTAAGTCCTTTCTAAAATTTTCTCTTATACGTTTAAAGATATATTTTTTTCGTTAATGTTGATGTAAAAATTTATAATTTTGCACCAAAAGGAACTTAGAAAACTTACCTAACCTTATTATAACAAGCGCAATTTATTTTAGCCTAACCCAACTAAATATATTTTAGATTTGTTTATAATAATTTAATACTAAACAAACACAGTGAAACATATTTTTTTCGTTAGGTTCAGAATGATTTTGGCGAAATTATTGCATACACAAATTTTCACTTGTCCTATATGGCAAGATGAGCGTTGCTATTTAAGACAAGATTGCAAGTTCTGCCTATTCGGCACGACATATATATATATATATATATATATATATATATATATATATATATATATATATATATGTGTGTGTGATGTGTATATAATATATTATATATATATCTTATTGTGATTTATTGTGTTTATAAGCCAATGTAACTATATTACTAACTTATATTACATATATATTATGCTTTCTGAATTTTTCGAGATACCAATTCTAGCTACTTATAATACAATCTGGTGGTAGTTGTATAATTCACGTTAATGTTCATGAATGTTATTGATCTGTGACAACACTATTAATGTTTATACATTACTCTCCATAATGACAACCCAGGGACCATAGATGCTTATGTTGTTTGGGCCGTGTATATGTTGGCTGGTGGTGTTTGATCTGTGAGCTGTGTGTTTTGGACTGATTATGTTGTTGGGGACCGTGGGTTTGGAACTGGTGGTGTTGTTGGGCTGGTGGTGTGTTGGGGCTGGTGGTGTTGTTGGGGCTGGTGGTGGTGTTGGAGCTGATTATGTTGTTGGGGCTGGTGGTGGTGTTGGAACTGGTGGTGTTGTTGGGGCTGGTGTGTTGATGGGGCTGGTGGTGTTGTTGATGCTGGTGTTGTTGGGGCTGGTGGTGTGTTGGGGCTGGTGATGTTGTTGGGGCTGGTGGTGGTGTTGGAGCGTGGTGGTGTTAGGACTGGTGGTGTTGTTGGGGCTGGTGGTGGTGTTGGAGCTGGTGGTGGTGTTGGGACTGGTGGTGTTGTTGGGGCTGGTGGTGGTGGTGCTGGTGTTGTTGGTGTTGTTGCTACTGTTGGTGTTGATGTTGCCGTCTATCTCCCTCAATCGTCTATCTCTGTCTATCGCCCCACGACTGGCTGACAGTCATGGGGCGTAGATCCAGGAAACTTTCTGGACGTTCGTCTTGGCAGATCCAAATATATTTAATGCCAAGCAGCTGCCACACCATCCCATCTCCCTGGAAGACCACGTCTGGCCGCCGTACTTGCCTATCAACCCATATAACTGACAAGTCATCGTGGGTCACTATCAAGGACACTTAAAGATACTTCTCACTTGAGGGGACACACCCCTCAGGCTCGGATTTCCAGCCCATGTATTTTTTTAGGGTTTATGAGTGGCTGTAATTACGGACGTGTGTGTGTGTGTGTGTGTGTGTGTGTGTGTGTGTGTGTGTGTGTGTGTGTGTGTGTGTGTGTGTGTGTGTGTGTGTGTGTGAAGGTCACAGTGTGCGGTTGAGTTAATACGAAGTAGTGATTGTAGATTCTGAATTAAAACTGTTGGGTCGTCCTCTTGACTTCCTGTGGGATGACAATCTGAAATTATCGCATCTACAGTGGAAAACGTGAACTATTCTTGTTTCTGCTGTGTCAGTCTATTTTTCTTTAGTCTGTTTTCATTTCCCTTCTACTTATGCTGTAGTTGAATTTCCTGATGATTTTTAATATTATATTTATTTATTTATTTATTTATTAATTTGAACATGATACAGAGAGAAGTACAAAAAATACAGTTAAGTGCAGCATGCCAAAGCCCCTTGTATGCAGAGCTTTTTGGGCAGGAAAGTGCTAAATCCGTATTGTGGATGTCCCGTGGTTTGGTTGCAGCGCATTCGCCTCACACATTGAGTGTGTGTGGTTCGATTTCCGTCATGAATGGAAAAGCTGGGCATGACAAATTACACATGTTCACCTAGCACTATATAGGTTCACCTATATAGTGTTCACCTCGCGGTAAGTAGGTACCTGGGTGTTAGTGGACTGTTGTGGGTCGTATCTCAAGAGGTGGTAGTATACTATAGATAAAAACTGGGCTTTGAAATGAGCTGAGATAGGTTAACAACTCTTGGCCTATAAAACTGATTTGTGTAAAAAAAATAATTTACCGCCTGAGAAACGGTAGAAAATCAACTCTGATCTATCCATTCCTTTAGGTTAAGAGACAATCACCTGCATCAAGGCATTTTCCTTGAAGGATGTGTATGTTTCTCAAGGTTTGTGAGCGTCATCTGGGTACTGAGTGTCCGTGTCCCTACATTCTCTTCGTTCTCGTGCTGAACAGTCTCTCTCTGTCTAACCTGTCTATACTTTCTAGGAATTCGTATATTATTATATCCATTCTTTAACTGATCCTCCAGCGTCGTGAATTCCGGTTCCTGAAGTTATTCTTGATGATTTTTGTCTTTCATATCCGGTACTGGCGTTGTGACAAATTTCTGGAACTACCAATTTTCCGATCGTGTTTTATTATCCGTGGACTACGATCTAGAATTACTAGGATGCGCGTTATATACAGTGTCCGGAACTCTTCAATCGTATATTCGACAGCTTCTGAAAACAAAATTGGTGCAAGGTTTCCTTCTATTATATTTTCACTATGGTGATTCAGTTATTTAATCCACGCGATACATATTTCATGTCGTTTGCAGGTCGCCCACTTCCGGTATTTTATGTAAGCTGGTTCTAAATTCCAGCAGCCATTTCTTTTTATCCTGCAGCCTATCCACATCATGTAAATGAATGGTACAGTACCGACAAGATGAAGAATTAGACACATGTGCAACATCTGGGTGGTTTTATCAATATAATAGAAGGTCACAATGTGAAGAATGTAGAACTATATACAAAAGATGAGGTAAATCAGTCCCTCAGCCTTGGAGTTGGTGAAGAGCAGCGTAGTCTTGCGAGTGAAGAATTCTTCAAGACTACGCTGTCTTTAACTCCAAGGCTGAGGGACTGATTACCTCATCTTTTGAATAGTCCTACATTCTTTACATTATGTCCTTGTATTATACTGATAAAGCCACTGTATGGCGAAACGTCTAGAAATAAAGATATTCAGATGTTGCATGTGTGTCTAATTATTCTTCGGTCATGATCGTCTTGCCCATTTTGTCAATGTCCTCGGAATGAGGTACCCTTATTAGCATTGCGTCACTTGTGTACATTAATATGGACGAGTCTCGGCCTCCAGCGAGATCATTTACGTACACTAAAAATATTTGAAAGATAAGTCAGTGATCTAAAAGGAATTAGAAAAAATAAAGCACTAGGGTGAATTTAAAAGAATTGGAAGCAACACGAAGCAGACAGGGAATGGAAGTAAAATATTACAGTGAAATATAGAAGTAAAAAGAAGTAGAACATCAGTAAAGAAGCAGAAGGATCTAGGAGTGAGATGGAGCGAGAAATAGGGGCGTAGCCTCTTCCCCAACCTGTCGAACAACTTTTTTGGCCTTCGTTTAGATGTCCTTCAGCCTGCATGCAAACGGGCAGGCAGGCAGACACACGCACATGCACAGAAATAACAGGAAAGGCATTGCAGTGGGTTAGAGAATACCTGCCAGGAAGGAAACAACGAGTGATGGCTCGTGACGAGGTGTCAGACTGGGCGCCTGTGACGAGAAGGGGGTTCCACAAGGGTCAGTCCTAGAGCCAGTGCTGTTTCTGGTATATGTGAATGAGTGATGAATGTTTTTTGAAAACCGACAATTGAAGAACTGAGACACTTAAGCAACATATGGGAATCTTTATTGAAGAAGCATTTTTTCAATAAAGATTCCCACATGTTGCTTAAGTGTCTCAATTCTTCATATGTGAATAACGAGACGGAAGGGATAGATTTAGAAGTGTCTCTGTTTGCGTCCAGACTCCGCTAGGAGGGTTTACCTGAAGACTTCAGGAAGACTTAAAAGTTTATTGTTACGATGGCGAGAGGAAATGATAAAAACACGGCATACAGATGCTCAAAATCTCCCACCAAGGTTTCGATACTGAATACTCAGTATTTCAATATCATCAAAACACCTAAATCCGGGTACTATGTCAACAACCGTGGCCAAGTGCCAGATCAGTCAGGCTGTGACGGCTATCTTTGACAACGGGCAACAGCCTAGTTGAACAGCCAGTCAACAGAAATGCCTGGCCCTCAGGCGGGGCTACGAGGGTAGAAAAACTCACAATTCTGTTTCGTTCTAGTGATAATATTGATTCTGTTGGTCCGTCGTCCGTTTATATGCAGAAAGAATACTAGAAGGAAAATTTTGAAGTTATGATGATTGCCTACATTAAATCGTAGCTAAGAGGCTCTTAAGTTTCCTCAACCACTTTTTCCTAAGCCACTTCTTCTCTCACACTCAGTCACTTTCCTCCCTCCTATTCCCCACTACTATCAACCTTGTTGTTATTTCATACTTTTAGCTACGTCTCACTCACCATCACTCGTTTTCCCTCAAAACACACACACACACACACACACACACACAGGAGCCGAGTCTCGACCCCTGCAACCACAATTAGGCGAGTACACACACACCGGAGCCAGGAACAGTGAATCGACTCCTGCAACCACAATTAGGTGAGTGCACATCACTCGCGTCTCTTCCCCACCATCGGCAACTTCCGGCGTAGAGACCATTACTCACAGCTGGGAAATTTTATATATATAAATAAATATATCGTTAGCGGATACGACCCATTATTTCCCCCAATTTCCACGACGCGACAGCGTCCTTGAGGCAAAAAAAAAAAAAATGTCCCGTGAGTGAACATAAGAGGCTCCGCGAAGATCCCATTAAGAAAAAGACATTTATTTGTCACTGTAGAAAGAAAATGAATTTCGTTCGGTGGTGATTTTCGTATTGGTACTTCTGCTACCCCTTGTAGTGTTAGTTGTGGTAGTGATGGTTATTAGTTGTGGTGTATTTGGTGATGCTATACACCACTATATCAATAATCAAGCGTATACGCCACATAGTCACTACCAACGCCACTACAAACAACCATTACGGAATGAACAGCGCCAGCAAGGCCAGCTCTCCAAGCAGTAGTTTATTATCTTACGTGTTGAAGTGAGCTGAGAACTGTCAGTAATTCCCTCAAGGCCTGACAAGATTCAGGTCTCGCTACTGCGCGTGTTATACACAGCGACCTTCATCTTGGAGGTCTAACAACTGTTCTGATAAATACATGATGTTTCCCTTAATAAAATACTATTCAGTGTTTCGATATTACTGTGTGACCTTTCTTATTGCAGAGAACTAGCAAAGATGTCGACAATACTGGATAACCTTTCCCTAAGTCGGGGTTAAAAAAAATAAGACAGGAAACAGTAGTCACCAAGCCTAGTTTGGTCACATCTAGCGATATAAATTCTGAATGTTAATAATAAACTTGAAGCCTACATTAACTAGCTGAAATTAAAGTTATTGGTAGCCTACTGACGTACAGCAAATGGAGACGTCTTTCATTAAAGCATTTATCCTACGAGAGGCTTTATAAAGCATCAGGTACATGGTAAAGCTACATTGTAGGTGAAACTATCTTGAAATACGAGGTTTTCCTCATGTTACCTATGGCATTACTAATCGTCCATCCTGCACATTTTATACCCTCTGCCCTGTACATGGAATATCCTCTGTCCTGCACTCAGGATAGCCTACCATATGTCCTGCACAAAATATATCCTCCGTCCTACTCAAAGTATAGCTTACTCTATGTTCTTCTCAAAGTATAGCCTCACTGTCTTTCAGCAAAGTATTCAAAGGAAACCCTAAGAAATACCTCAGGTGTTCTAAGACGTGTTTTGCCCACTCCACCATCTTGTGTGTCTGTTAAGTTCACGAGATACATCATAATACAACACTGAGGTGTGATGCCTTTTAGCTCTTCAGGTCCACTCGTCCTCACAGATGACCAAGACAGAGGAATGAAGACCGAAGAAAGTTATGTTGCTTAAACTTTTGACGTAGGCACAAAAATTAAGTTACAATATTCAAAAAATAATCTTACCCAGAGAAACCACAATAACCACTATCTTCGCAGTACCATTCCTGAGGCTCACTGGTGTTCCCGAGGCTAGGAAGAAACATGGCCTGTAACCAGGCTACCTACCTTCTTGTGGCATCTGTGGCTGAGTGGTGTAAAGCGTCACTTAGGGAGCTATGCTACTTCTCACACGTGGTTTCGAATCTCAGTATAAGTAGAATTAAGTAAAATAACGAGACAGTTT